TCTGGTGATGATGTTCTTCCAAATGAACTTCCTTGTATCGGTATCTCGGATGTTGGCTAAGGGCTCGGCTTACACCCACTTCGTGAAATAATTCGTTGCAACCAAAAGGTACTTCTTGTTGCCAGGGGTCCCAGGTAAAGGGCTGACAATGTCTAGTCTCCATTGCACGAATGGCCAAGGGCTCGCCAATGGAAGTAACTTCTGGGATCGTTTTCTTAGTATTGGTAAGAATTTCTGACACTTTTCACATCGCCTAACAAACTGTTGAACATCTTTATGCATGTATGGCCACCAAAAAACTTGAGAGATAGCTCGGTGAGCCAGAGATCTCCCACCTGTATGAGCTCCACAACTTCCTTCTTGTATTTCGATTAGAAAATCTGGGACTATCTTCGGGTGTACACATTTCAAATATGGGCCTCCAAATGAGTGTCGATAAAGCTCGTTTCTTAGAGATAACCAAAATTTGGCCGTTTTCAGACGTAGCTTATGAGTTTTCTTCTTGTCTTCAGGCAAAACATCGTTCTTTAAGAAGCCAATAATTGGATTCATTCAACTCAGCTCAGTTTTGTTATATAAGACTTCATCAGATCTAGTCAGGCAAATACTAGGCTCGGATTGAAACTCAATGGTAAGAGATATTTCAATTTTTTGGTCAATGACCAAGGCCAGTGAAGCTAAAGCATCGGCATGCGAATTCTTTGCTCTTCCAACCTGTTGGATCGAGTATTATGGTATTTTGTATAATTCTTTTTTTGCAACGGCATGATACGCCATCATTCTTTCATCCTTGGCCGTGTACTCCCCTATGATACCACTAGTTGTGAATCAGATAATATCTGGAGCTTCGTTGCCCCTAGTGCGGTTGCTAGCGTTACTCCGGCTATTAGAGCTTCATACTTAGCTTCGTTGTTCGAGGCTTGAAATTTGAGTCTGATGGCCTTCTCCAAAATACAACCATCTGGACTCATTAGCGTGAAACCAATGCCGACACCTTTTTGATTTGAAGACCCATCAACCGATAGGGTCCATTCACCACCAGACGATGATGTTCGATAATGATCAGTCTGTTGGCTTTGCTCTGAACTGATTTTAGGTTGGAATTCTACAATGAAGTCTGCCACCACCTGCCCCTTGATTGCCTTCCTCGGTTCGAATTCAATGTCAAACTCCTCGAGCTCAACTGCCAATTTTGTAATACGTCCAGACAGGTCGGCTTTCTGAAAAATTGATTTCAACGGCTGATCGGTGAGCACCAGTGATTTGGTGAGCCTGAAAATAATGTCTAAGCTTTCTAGCCGAGCTGATCAGTGCGAGCGCAAGCTTCTCCAATGGAGTATACCTTGATTCTACATCTAAAAGCATCTTGCTCACATAGTAAATTGATTTCAATTTTCCACGATTATTCCTCATCAATACCCCACTTATCGCGTGTTCCGAAACAGTTAGGTAAGGAATATCTCTGAACTTGATCTCCCAATCTTCCTATTTTGTAAAACAAACAAACTGTCCAAGATCAAAATGCTTCGATCGCAGACACTCTGATACTTAAGTCAATACTGAAATATAAACGTTTACTAGATGACAATGAGAGTTCAGTGTACCTTTCACCTTGACTTATTTTGATTTTTATAGACCCTGTTTAGTTAGAATTTTGTGAATTTCGATTCAATGTGACACACCTTCCATCATTTCAGTGATTCAATTTGGAAAGCTGTTGTAATATCTCTAGTAGTTCCCTTGGCCTATAATTAAGTTTGCTAGCTTATCTTGTACGCCTAAGTTTTTGGCGAATCTTTATCTTTCTATTTGTTATTTCAATTCAACTTGGTCATGATCAGGATCAAACTCATTCCTCGAACACCAAGCATGTTGACTAGTGCCGAACTCATTCATTGCTTCCTGGCTTATTAAATAGCACGGTTTGGTAAGAGCCGAGCTCATTCTCTGCTTGCCAAGCTTATTGAATAGTTCAACTAAGTGTATTTGTCTCGGTGACTCATGCCTTTCTCACGTGCCTTGTCTGGTCATCCTCGCGTGAGCTCTAATTTTCATAACACGTGTAATAATGAGGGCCAGCCTCTTCATATACCAAAATTAAGAAAAAAAATTCACCACATACAGCTCTAAGTATACATAAACCTCTTTAAAAATTACACAATCAACAATGATATTTGTAACATTTCCAAGGACAAGATTGATAATACTTTTTGCTACATAAGATGAGTCAATATCTACATCGATTTGAATAGTAGATAATCTATCAATATACTAATGGATTTAAAGAGTACAAATACCAAAGAAGTATGAAAACAAGTAATACAATGAATAGATCGAAGGAGTGAGATGGAAGAGAAAGGAGATAGAATGAGTAGGATGGAAGTAGGGATGTCAGTGGACCGAGGAAAAACGGATATTCGTTCAAACCCGTCTTGTTTGGACCGGAATGGACTATACGTATTGAACGGTACACGTATACGGGGATACTCATATAAACCCGTACGGGGATGAAGGCGGAGATAGACTTATCCTTACTCCCGCCCCGCTCGTTATATATATAAATACTCCCAAGTCCTGACTAAATATATTTACTGTAACTACCAATCTAGAAATATGGTAATCAAACTAACAAGTGACATTGCTATGTGGTAATTTTATCAACTTTTGTCCCTGATTGTTCTTTTTTGTATTTGTGCTCACTAATTAAAATTGTTAGGAGTTTGGATTGACCATGCTCTAAAAACTAGAAAAGAGAGAGTAAGATAGTTTTGCATTTCATCGTGGATAGAAATATTGTGAATGGAGGTTGATGAGTTCCTCTACTAGAGTGAACTAAGAAATGAAAAGAATTATTGAATTAGCGAAATTTTAAGTTTTCATCTTTTAACACTTTATAGATGTAATATGAATTGTAATAACAAAAATTTCTCTTGAAAATTTTAAGTGTAGTGCTATCATTTTTTTAGTTCAATTTTATTTTTCTTTTCTTCTTTTTTCTCTAATAGTTTCGTTTTTCTTTTTGTGGTCCAATGACACTTTAAATAGAATACTATATTGTTTTGGCTTATACATTTTGCTATTTACATTATGTTGTGTTAGACTACGTTAAATTATTTAGAATGTTGTTGGATTATTTAAAATTTTAGATTAGGCTTGAGTTTGGGCTTGGGCTTGGGCTTAGGCGGGTATGGGGGAAGCGGGGACGGGGATTAGAAATTTACCCGCGGACGGGGATGAACGAAGTTTTTTCAAGCTGATACGAGGATGAAGACCACACTCCCCGCCCCCGCTTCGGTCCACTGACATCCCTAGATGGAAAGGATTGGAAATAGAATGAGTAGGATGGAAAGGAATAGATAGGACATAGAATTAGGGGTGTTCATGGGGCGGATTATCCATGAATTTTGTTACTCGGCCCAAAAAAAATAAACACGATGCTTGATAGCCTCAATAGTTGGTTCGTCCGAGATCAATATCCTCAAAAAGAACCCATTAAACTGATTATTGAGCCCAAAGCCCCACCCAATAACTTGGCCCAAAAAATCCATTTAAACTTCATTCAAGACCTCGCCCACACAGCCTAGCCTGTCCACAATTCTTTTGAAAAAAAAAATTATACTTTTAAATCATTAAATTTTAAACTTTAAAATAAGTTTTACAATGTCAAAATTTGAAGTTTTAAAAATTTAGATACTATAAATAATGTATTATTTTCTTTTTCATATATTAAGGATACAATTTTTAAAGGATAGAATAATGTAGATGATAGATAAGTGAGTATGAGACAATTTAGTTGGGATGCATTCATTCTATTGGATGTAGTTCATCCCTTAATCAAAAATAAAATTATTCATTACCTTATTTTTATCAATTTTAACTCTAATTTTGATTCAAAAATATAATTTATACAAATATTAATTTATAAAAATATTCATTATTTTAACTAAAATTGTATATAAAAAAATTTTCGAACAAGCTCGCAGGTTGAGCTGTGGATAGAAGAGGTTTTGTCAAAGAGATAAAATTGATAAGTTGATGGAAAAGAGATGAGAGATAAATTAAATGAAGAGAGACGAAAGAGAGAGGAAAGATAAAAATTTAAATGAAGGTGGAAGAGAGATTGACGAAAGAAATAGGATAGAGAAATTAAAGGGAGATGAGTGAAAAAATGAATGAAGAGAGTAGAGAGAAAGAGTGAGACAAAATAGATAAAGGTATGACAATAATTTAAGGTCATAATAAGAAACAAAAAGGAGAAGAGCCCTATAGATCTATCTATCAAATAGGGCATATCATTTGTCCTTAGTGACCTAATAAATTTACAAGTTTCGTATTACACTTCTTTTTAATTTCCACTAAAAAAAAATGACTTATTTGAAATTATTGGGCTCTGGGCTCTTCTGGGCCGACCCAAACTGTTAGCAGCCCAGGCTATCCACCAGCTATGCCAGTCTCAGGCTAGCCCGTCTTGAAATACCTAGTCTCACTTCTGCCCACTGAGCCAGCCCTAATGAGCACCAAACAGGCTGGCTCCAATGGGCCTTAAATAGGTATAAAATGGTTTTTTTTATATATATTTATATTTAAAAAATTATTACATAATGTTTTCAATAGATATTCGAAAGAAAAAAACTAGACACTAAACAGTACAGTTGCTAAGTTGACAATGTGTAAAACTCTTCCATTTCAAACAAAAAACATAAATTGGTGGGTGGAAGGAAATCCCAAAGGTTTCGACTTCAATACCAAAAGAGGTACGATACCGAAGTTTACCACCTGTTTAATTCAAAATACAACCTTTTGAGGTCTAAGTTATAACAAAATCGTCATGATCAATCCTTAAAAAAAACAAACTTTTGGGGGTCTAAAGTTACATTTTGGCCTCTACAAAAATTGTCATTATTGATCTCATCAATCCCCAAAACGACCCTCAAAAGTTATAACTTAACTTCCACAAGTTTATAACTAAACTCCAAAAAATAGTATTTTGTATTGTGGCACTAAAATAACACTTTTTTTTTTGTTCAATAGTCAAGGATGTCCGAACTAACTTACGCGCATCTCGACTAATCCCTTCTCCGATTCGGTCAAAAATAAACCATCAACACTGAGATTAGAGAATTCGTAAGGAAATTCAAAAAAAACAGTTCCGAAGCTAAATATCACTTATATTGAAGATGCACTACTGAGGGAACCCATTGTTCCAATTATTTGCAACTTACAAAAGAACAAGCAGATAAAAGGTTCTACCTCAGCTTGGCCTCCAGATCCTTTAAAAACAAGTCAAAACACTGCCTCTGTTTTCACTTCCATGCACAAGAAGCAACCAAATCTCTCTTCATCCAACCAAGATACAGAGCTCCATCTCTTTCTTCAAGCCTATATCTGTCACAGTAGTTCTGTAACAACCTTTTGATTGTAGCATTCACCACAGAACTCAATGGACATGGAGTAAAACCTGCCATTCTGAACCGTGACTTCCACTTCCCGAGCGGCTCGTGCCGTTCCACCCTCTCACTCCCTTCACAAGCTATTATGTTAACCACATCTCTTGCCAGACAGTGCTGCTCAACATTGATCCGTTCCTTGCGTTCTCTCGGAAGAGTCACATCAATCGATTCAAACATAGCCGTATAGTAATCCAGAGTCTCAACGAAACGAGGGAAAAATGCTGCAGTATTTGTATTAGATTCTTGCTCAACAAGGGTCACCACCTTGGGAGACAAACTTTTAACCTGCCTCAACAGCCGGTCACGATGATTTTGAGTGCTGACACTTTCGTCTGGCATGTGGTGTAACATAAACGCGAAATTCACAGCCAGTGCCTCCCCTGGTCGAATTCCCAGGTTTTCCAGCTGAACCTCACAACCAGACATGGCTGCAGGATGGAACTTGAAAGGCACATTAAATGACTTGGCAAGCTGGGATAGCTTCTGACCAACGATGTTCAGTCCTCCTCCACGTGCATAAGCAGATGTGGAATCATCGATACCAGTTATGCGGATGTGGGGTGGCCCACCAGGGCGATATGCAAAAGCCTGGATTAGAGTAATCCATTGACTCCCTTGAGCAATTTGGAAATCGACGATGTGAACCCTGTTTTCATCCTTCATTGCTTCTGCAATGGCACCATTTGCTGACATATATCCAAACTTGAAGTATGGGCAGACCTCATAAAGAATGTGCATATGAGAAAGAAGCTCAGCGCTTGCAGGTTCTTTGCATTTCAAAACTTTACAGATGGAACTCCCTGAAGCAGCCAATCTTGCAACAAGCCCTTCCAACATATATGCTCCCAGACGCTGGATTGGCTCACCAGAAACTGATACCATTTGACGTAACTCAGACATCAACCATTGCGCAGTCAACAAATCGGTATCTGATACTGCTTTTGCACAGGCAATGAGAACCTCTTTCAGGTCCCTTCTGGCAATAGCCTCCATGATTTGCCTCCAACTATCTATATCGGGTGAGGCTACACTACCTGGCAAGGTATTATCATAACTGTCAAGAATATCATAATCAGGTCCCAGCATTACTGTTTCCAGTTCTCTCAGCTTGTGCATAAAGCTATTCATATCATCCATAGTGCAGGATCCGCAAACTGGAGAACCATGGGTATTGTCTGCCATGTCTGGTGAGTGGAGTGGATCGGATGGGTATGACTGAGATTCCTGTTTGGAAATGGGGCTTCCATTTGGTGAGAAGCCGACAGTTGATGGTGAGTTGTAAACAGTGTAACTGCTAGTTGCGGTGGATGACTCCAGGGTGCAGTACTGTACATGGAAAGTCTGTGTGGGGTATTGGCTTCCACCGTTGCTGCTCTTGTAGTACAACTCCTGGTCTAAAGTTTGAACCTGCGGCGAACAATAGAAGTCAAATTTTTGCATTGGCTGGTAATACAATGTGTTGGACATGCCTGAACTTCTGTGGTGCTGTGATGCTTGCATTGATTAAATTAGTCTGCCTTGCTCCTTATTTTTAACAGAATATTTGGGTATTCTTTCTCTGGCAGGAAGAATTGACACAAGGCTTAAGTCAAATCGGTATGAAACATGCATGAAACTGGGAAATCATTGCTTGCAAGAGACGAAGCCCTATGATTTCGCTCTTAACAACTGCTAGATGCACTTTCTGACATCTGTGAATTGGAGTTATACTATCAGGAACTCTGGACTCCAAACAATAGGAAAGGATCTCTTATAGCAAAGCAGCATAATCTGCAACCAAATAGTAATGTGATGAAGGAGAACAAATCGACAAAATGAAAAAAAGAAAATGAAAGTCTAATTAACATAATCTAAGGCAGTATTAACAGCAGAGTTCAAGCCTAAAAAAGATCATCATTTCCATGATACATCACTAGCTATCTAATATATATAAGATTTTCCACAGCAAGTGACAGTTTTCTACAACCAGCAAGATTTTCCCACTCCTTCAAAGCCATTGCTTCATATTGTTCACATGCAAATCAAAGGTTTGTTAAGTCGTATGCGACATGAAATATCCTCGCTTTTTGCTGATTAAAAAGCAATCAAAGAAGTGCAAAACAATGCCTTTATTTAGAAAATGGCAGATGTTTCACAAACCAGGAAACTAACATGCTTGAAGTAAGCCTATAATATTCTGGTGCTGCAACTGGGTGGAAGATAGCCGAGATAATCAGAAAATGTGATTGATTAAATCCTATAAAGCTAATACAAGTCCTGGGATACTTCATATAACTATTTCATGACATTTCTAGTCAAAGTATGCAATTCTCACCCTTCTGCAATAGGCTTAAGTGTGGGATACAACCAGGATATCTCAACTCTCCATTACATTTTCACCTACCACGAATTCATATGGGACCCACTTTCTATAAGTAGACCCCTCGTCAAGACAAGACTAAAATTGAGTGAAAGTATAATAGAGAGTATTTGGATCCGAATACTCCGTTTGTCAAAAGGCTCAGAAATATTCTCGAGTTCAAACAACATAGCCAACCATACAATCTGCCATTTTATTTGGATTTCAACAGCAAAAATATTTATCAGGAATTCAGGATTACTTCTACAGGGCATTAAGAGGTACTAAGGCAATAATCCGCACATAAGTTTGCTATTCAAATAAATTTGCAACAAAACCATGAAATTCACCTCTTTGATTCTTATTTTAATTTTTTTTTTCTTTGATTCTTAATTAACCCAACATTTACTTCCAACTTTGTCATGTTTTAAGATATGAGTACTGCATTCTTACCAACAAAAACAATAGGTAATCATGCAATGCACTAAATTGTGTAAAGTCAGAAACAAATATACTAAGAAATTCAAACAACAAGATGATAATTAATCAAAAAAATTCTTAGACTATAAACAAGACACTCAAACATTCCAAAATTTGACCCAGTGAGACACAGAGATGAAACTTGAAACAACTTCATCTCTCTCTCTCTCTCGCTCGCTCACACACACACACACAACACACACAAATACAAACACAAGCACACACAGGCAAGCACAGAGAGAGGGGGGAGATGAGAAAAATGAAAGGAAAAGGTCCAACCTTTCACCTAGAAACCACCGACCCATTTCCAATGACGTCAAGTCATCCCTGAAATCTGAACTCAGCTACAGATTTTCCCGGAAAGTCCTGAATTCAGGGGGGGAAATTAGAGTCCCCAAGCCGGAACAGAGTAAATTCAAGGGGGTGGGGGGGGGGGGAAACAGTCCCCAAACCGAAAAAAAATGAAAATGTAAGCTTAGGATACCAAAATCAGTCGTTAGTTTTGGCATACCAACCTTAATGAAGAATCTCTCGTTTCTTATGACACTTCAAACCAGAGCTCTTTGTGACAAAGACAGTGAAGAGAAGAGTACTGTGCGAAAGAGAGACACATTATTCTGTATTATAATGATTACAACTGCAAGAAGCCCTTTATTTATTTTAAAATTACATTATTGCCACGGTGATTATTAGTGTGCATTATCAAAAGCATCTCCATACAAGCTTAGTGACCCAAAAAAACCAAATCAAGAGGATTAGCATAGTACATTGATTATTGTACTATAACCCATTAAATATGGCATAAAGTTTTCATTCCAATTCAATTTTTTCTTCTTTTTTTTTTCCCGAAATGTAGCACTCCAACAACAGTGAATAGGGACTCGATTTGCTCTTCCGAGAGAGAGAGAGATGGCTTTTGATAGTNGGGGGGGGGGGGGGGGGGGGGGAAACAGTCCCCAAACCGAAAAAAAATGAAAATGTAAGCTTAGGATACCAAAATCAGTCGTTAGTTTTGGCATACCAACCTTAATGAAGAATCTCTCGTTTCTTATGACACTTCAAACCAGAGCTCTTTGTGACAAAGACAGTGAAGAGAAGAGTACTGTGCGAAAGAGAGACACATTATTCTGTATTATAATGATTACAACTGCAAGAAGCCCTTTATTTATTTTAAAATTACATTATTGCCACGGTGATTATTAGTGTGCATTATCAAAAGCATCTCCATACAAGCTTAGTGACCCAAAAAAACCAAATCAAGAGGATTAGCATAGTACATTGATTATTGTACTATAACCCATTAAATATGGCATAAAGTTTTCATTCCAATTCAATTTTTTCTTCTTTTTTTTTTCCCGAAATGTAGCACTCCAACAACAGTGAATAGGGACTCGATTTGCTCTTCCGAGAGAGAGAGAGATGGCTTTTGATAGTTAATTATGATTCATTGAGATTTTGTGTTGATTTTAAAGGCAGTGTAATTTGTTTGTATTCGTTTGAGTGACAACATCTGATCCAAAAGCAACCTAAGTTTTCGATACATCAGTTTCACAAAATATATTCCCAACAATTATGATTTTAACGTGAATTTATGAATTGAACGTGTTTTACTCATAAACTTCCACATGTCGGCGAGTTTAGACCTTAAAATATTGACATATTAACTGTATTATTCAAACTGCACGAGTTGTTATAATTAAATTTATTGCAATGAATAATTCAACAATAAATCAGTAAATTTTCTTTCTTATATAAGACTAGCTATAAATAAGAGAATTATCTTGAGTTTGAATCTTGAATTCAAATTTTACTAATTCTTTATGTTCTTAGTAGGAATGATGAAAAATAGTAGAGATACATCTTTTATCCTTTAATGATGAAAAATAAATATAATACACTTTCCTTCTTTCAAAGATGGAAAGTAGGAATAATATATTTTCATTCCTTGATGTTTGGTTGGATGAATGGAAAAAAAATGACTAATTTTTTTATTTAATTTTTTTTTGTGTTGACTAAGATTAGGAGTGACAATTGAGTCTTATCGTGTCAGATTCGTGTTGAGTCATAAAATTATGAGCATTTCAAATTTTTTATTTGCATGTTAGGTCATTTTCAAGTTTGTGTCATTAAATTCGTATCGAGTTCGAGTCGTGTTGAATCAAAAATTTTCACTCCTATTTTAAATGAAAAATAAATAAATTTTAATTTTAATTTTAAAAATTTTATAATATATATATATACATAATATATATACAAATAAGATACATTTCAACATAAATAATTAACTTTCCATCAACTTTTCTTCTGATTTTGGAGGGATTGATTTTGATAAGTTAGAAGGAAAGTGAATTCATCCACTTTTCTATCCTTCCTATTTTGCTTCCTTACCAAACATGATATTTAATTTATCCCTTTAATTTTTCATCATTTCAACTTTTCATTCTTCTATTTTTTCATAATATCAAATGGAGTATTAGGGTCAAGTCATGAGAGAATTATTCTTCATAAATATCTTAGTTTCAGTGTAAATAATTTTTTTTAATCAAATTAAAAAAAATTAATCAAAATACGCGTTAATTGATCTAAACTCTTTTCACGTTTTATCGTTGAACCCAAAAAAAAAAAAATATCCTCACTAATATTGTAGTCCACTTCGACAGAAAAATGAGCTGGCTTGATTCTTCTAGTACAATGCACATGTGGGCATGTGCATAGGTTGAGATACACATGATATCATGGTGGAAATGTGCTTGTGACGTCATAATTTAGTGGATCAACTCTTTTTTTTTTCCTTTTAATAAGTGGGAAAATGATTTAATTACTGCAAAAATTCCCATTATATGTATCCTATGAAGCACGGCTACGGTTACGGATACGGATACGGCGATACAACAAAATCTAAAAAAATAGGATATCAGTATGACCAGGATACGGTTATAATAAAATATATTTAATATTTTTAACCAACTTAATACTTATATATTTTGATTATTCTTTAACATATAATAAGAAAAATTAATAATTCTTTTTAGTTTCAAAAAAATATATATCGTGTAACTGTGGTATATTCACAAAGTGAAGTGACTAATTAAAAGAATTAAAGTTAATATTTATCCAGTATTTAGAAGTAATTTTTACTAAGATTATAATATAATAACTTTACTATATAGTCTTTTGACATGTAATTGTAGGTAATACTTAAAAAACACTCATGTACCTTTGAAGTAATATGAAATTTTTGTTAATGTATTGTATAGTATGTAATTCGAAAAGAGATGTTAAAAGTTCAACTAAAAAATTATACACATTGCTCTATTATAAAAATATCTATAAAATATTTTAATATTTAACTATTATCAAATACGTAAAAATATGTATCCCGAGTATCCGTACTTCACATATCAAATCGTCGTTTAAGAAAGTACTTTACTGGCTAGTGAACAGGATAACCCCCCCCCCCCCTTTCTTTGCGGCTTGATAGATGGCAAAAAATTTAAATATTAATATATATTTATTTAAAAAAAAATTTCATATTTGAGATGAGAAACTACTAATTCAGTTTTTGTATTCAAGTTTTAGTTATAAGAAATTCATTAATTGAAGTTGAATTTAGAGAGACTAAAATATATTTAATCAGCTATCAATTGAAAATATCAAAAAAAAAATTAAAATTTATTAATACAACAAAATTATTAATAAATAGTACAACAAAATTATTTTTAGAAAAACAAATAAGAATTTTGAATAGAAAACTCACACTCCTTCTATTATTCAGACATTTCGTAAGTATTTTTTGTGTATCTAAAAAAATAATTAATCAAACAATCATACTCATATAAAAAATGTCTCAACTTTAAGTTTTTTTCATTTTTTCAATATTTACATAAAAATAGATAAGATTGAAAAAAAAAAAATATAAGAATAATCATTCAGTCGTGTCATGTCAAAATTCACTTAGTATATGTTTGTCTTACTTATAATCATGTAAAATTTAATGAGTTGTTTTGTGTTTGCTTGAATTTGTGTTGACTTATTGATCTGAAGGGCACAAAAATTTCATCAATTTATTGTTCAATCTACTCAAACTTGGTAATTTGTGGTTGACTTTTTTATCAATTCATAAATTGTACCTAAAATTGTAATACTAATTAAAATTTGGGTCCTAAAAAAAAATTGGACCCCTACTATTCCTATTTATTTGGGGGCCTAGGCAGTAGTCTTACGCCTATGACTAGGGCCCCGCCCGAGATAATTGGGGTGAAGGGGGGGGGGGGGNGGGGGGGGGGGGGGGGGGGGGGGGGGGGGGGGGGGGGGGGGGGGGGGTGGGGGGGGGGGGGGGGGGGGGGGGGGGGGGGGGGGGGGGGGGGGGGGGTTTGACATTACTATAAGTGAAGTAAGAGATCTTAAATTTTTAGTGTTGTCGAATTGTAGAATGAGATTCACTTTGATATATAATTTTTTTTTTTTTTTCAGTAAATCACTTGCAATGAACTTTAGTGAAACTTATTATATAAGTCGGTCTCTCAATAAGATACATTATAACTAATTTATTAAGAAGAAAAATGAAAAATAGGTATTAGAGAATATCTTGATTTCCAAACTATAATATTAGATCTTAAATGCAATTGAAGAATGATAACCCTAAAGTGGTGTACTCGGGGTTGAAGGGAAACATGGACCATGACCAAGAGTGCATTAATTCAAAAGAGATTACTAAATTAATTACTATTCCTTATAGAGATAAAGTCAATGGTCAAGAAATTTTGACAATTTCTTAGAGTTAGGGCATAAGAGATTTATTCTTCATTAATACCTCAGTTCCGGCGTGAATGGTCTGCTTTTGACCGAATCAAATAGAGAATTAATCGAAGTGCACGTAAGCTGATCCGAACATCCCAATAAAAAAAAAAACACCATAACACTTGGAAACTAGAATTAGTATAATTAACCTTCACATTCAACAACATTTGGGATATCTCTATTTAAGTCTTTCAATAGATCCTGTTTGTTGAATTTTATTTTTACATTTCATATTTATAATCGTTAAAAATTGGATATTCACTTGAAATATTAGATACTAGCAACAATCTTGTATCTGAATACACAATATAATATTAAAAATTGAACTGATCTTCTAATATTTGCATATTAAATAATTATTAAGTTTTTTTATTACACAATTTAAAACTAAAGTTAAGAGAAGTAGGTGTGAATTAATATGATTATTTAATATTGGGGAGTATGTTAATTGAGTTATTTGGTCTTGGGAGCCAGGTAGAGAAGTTGATGCTTTTGAGTGAGGAAAAAAAATTTGGGATGAATTTTGTACAAGTGGATCAAAGTAGATAAAAATTAGATCAATCTTAACTATTATTATACTTTTATAAGTTAAGAAATTCAGCTTTCTAACTGTAA